AAAAATCATATTCTTCAATTAACGATTCTTAAGATTACAAGTTAAATTGATAAAAATTGTAAACATAAGGGGTTAAAAAGTTATTTTTACCTTTTGTAATTGTTAGATCAACAATTATAAAAAAACTTTACGAAGTGATAAAAGAGTAGCGAGCGAACCAAACTTTATGGTATGATGCTTCACTACAAAATTTTAATTATATCAGCAAACAATCTTTTACCAAAGAGGGTATTTGACTATACTTGACCACCGACAAACCAATCAAAAAACAAATGTCATTTATGACAACAAATATATACGAAAAAACGTATCAAAAATCACAAGGATCGTGCCACAATAACAGAAAAAATACGTGCCACAAGAAAAGAAAAAAACATGTAAACAAATGATATATATTTTGATTCAAAATTTAAAATAAAAACTCAATAAAAAAATGAAAACAAATGGCATACTATAAAAAGGTAAGAAAATTAATAACCATCGACATTTGTTAACTAATATTATGATTAGCGTAGTGGTCAGCTAAACAAAAATAAAAGAGAAAGAAGATGGCGCAAGTGATTCAATTTTTGTCACGTAGAAGAAATAGACAATAACAAAGGAGGATGGCACTTGAATCCAAGTGTCTTGTTCGCGACGATGACGTGAGGAGTCATGTTAAAAATGGGTTACACTCGTCCACAGCACCAACACAATTGAAAGTCGCACATGAATCCATTAACTTTCTTTTACACCAAATTAAACTTCAAACCAATTTTTTTTCCTATTGGTTCCAAGATTTCGTCTTAACTAATTCGGACTGAGTTACGTCGCACACCTAATTTTAGTAGGTGAGTCTCCCAGCAAGGATTTTATATAATTTAAACTCTCAAATAAGAAATTAAATTAATTAAATCATTTGATCAATTTAAACTATTAAGTCTTAATATTTTTTCATGCCATATTATTATCACATGACATTCTATGGTTATGTTATCTATAATTTTAAGAAATAAGATAAGAATGTAGCTTTTTTTTTATCTTAAGTTTTCTCTCAATATTTTTGTGTCATCTCCGTCTTTCTCTTTAATTTTTGTTTAGTCGACGACGACACCGATCTATAATTATTCATTCTCTTATTCTTTATATTATGTCTTTTATTTTATTTTGAGTTTTTTTTTTCCAATGTTGAATAAGAATTTGTATTTGTGGCATGTTTTTTTATGTTATTGTGGTACGAACCTTATGGATTTTGACACGTTTTTCACATACATTTGCAGTTGTTTTTTAGCTCGCACAACATTCATTTTCTGATTGATTTGTTGGTAGTTACATAAAGTCATATCTCCACTTTGGCAAAATGTTGTTTGCGATATAATCAGAATTGTGTAGCGAAACAACCTTCTCACCACTTATTTATCACTTCATAAAACGTATCATTCAACATAAATAATGAGTTTTTTTTATGAAGATTATTGAGCTCTTTTGATGTTGATCGTTATTCTCAAGGAAATGTTTTATTTGTCTTCATATATTTTGGTTTAATACTTTTATTTTTGTATAAATTTTCTGTGACTATTGTCCACATTTTTCTCTCTATGCTTGAGTGCGTTGTAATTTTGGTTTTTTTATTATTTTATTAATAAAATTTAATTATCATTATTATAAAAAATATAAGAAGAACTGTTGAACTTGAAATAATTTCTTTACAGAATATATTACCCCACCGAATAATTAAAACATTGGACTCGCTCTTATTTTCAATCTTCAAGTCGACTGAAAGATTGAAATTCCTATACATTATTTGGCATCGGATTGTATGATACATACATTGAACTCTAAACTATACACCATTCAATTACATACCTATAAATATATTTATGTATATTATAAAATTTGAAATTATTAATATGATTAAATAAATGAATTTAATCATTATATTTAATTTTTAAATATAATTATAAAAAATAAAATGGTTGGACAAAAAAATAATAATGTTCAATAATTTGAGATCTTGTAGCAACTTGTATGCATTTGTACATGTTATTTGGTATCAATTTAGAATTGAAATTGTATGCAATGATATTAGGACCGCAATTTAATTCAAAATCAACCAATTTTGATATGATTTGATAGGTTCTTTTTTCAAAAAAAAAAAACCAGGTTTAGTCATATCGAGTTTATTGTTTAAGGCGAAATTTGTTTGACTTAACTCGACTCCGGATATTTTATTCTATAAATTTAGATATAATTGTTATAATATTTTTGTTTAATTGTTTCAATTTTTTTGTTTAATTGTTTCGACATATGATGAATTTGGAGTATGGGTTTTAAGTAGATTGCTTGTTTCTTGAGTTACAAGTATCTTGCTTTGTTCTCATCTTATGTAGATTTATTTACTGCTAATTAGGATTTAGGGTTCATGAATTTATGTTTTTTTTTAATCTATGAAGAGTGTGGAACCAATAAAGGCGGTATTGATTCGGTCGGTTTTGGAAAAAAAATAGGGTTCATATGCTGTTGTAAAGAAAAGAACATGGATCCAATAGAGTTGTTTAACTGAATCTTCACTATCTTGTATTCTGGTTTACCTGTATATGTTCCATAATTGAATTGGTAGCTTATTTCTCTGCATTTCGGATTACTATTCTATCTCGTATTTGATCTTCCAGGTTGTGCTCAACTGGTCTTCCAAGTGATCTTGTTGTCGAAGTAGGAGTCTAGGAGATTTGGCTTTCCATCTTCACAAGGTTCTTAACTTGGTTCATATTGTTGTAGAAGAATGTTTGATGCTTTCACATTTAAGATATTGTGTTTAGAATACCTTATTCGTTTGCTAATAAGAACGTATTTTCCCTTTCCTCGAACGATTGCCTTGTTTATCAGTTTCCATTGCTTTCAAGAAGCCTAGTAATCGCGAATCGAATTAAGGATTACTGCGGTGTGGATGACGAAAAGTGTCTTCTGCAATTCCATGACTTACCTGGTGGAGCCAAGACCTTTTTGCTTGTAGCCAAATTCTGCTATGGAATCAGATTAGAGCTCAATGCAATGAATATAGTCGGTCTTCGGTGTACTGCCGAGTATCTTCAAATAAGCGAAGATCACTGGGAAGGAAATCTTATAATGCAGACCGAAAGCTTTCTGAATGAAATGCTTGGTCACTGGACGGACACGATCAAAGTTATTGAAACCTGCGAAGGGTTTCTACCATATTCAGAAGAACTTCATATTGTTTCCCGATGCATCGATTCCTTGGCAATGAAAGCTTGTGCTGATACGAGTCTGTTCAGTTGGCCTTTATTGGAAAGTGGTACTGCACAATGTCCAGAAGGCAATCATGTCTTATGGAATGGAATATGTACGGAAGCAAAACCACGAACATTGAGGGAGGATTGGTGGTATGAAGATGTGTCCTTTAGATTACCGCTGTATAAAAGGTTGATTATAGCTTTCGATTCAAGTGGCATGAAGCCAGAGAGGATTGCCGGTTCTGTTGTCCACTACGCAAAGACGCATCTTCCTTTGTTGTGTAGGCAATCGAGCTTCCAGAGTCGGAACAACGCTGCCCCTGTATCAACTGCATCTCACCTGTCTGATATGAATCAAAGGCATCTCCTTGAAGAAATAGTGGCATTAATACCTACTCAAAAGGGTGTCACCCCAACAAATTTTCTGTTGAGGCTTCTCCGAACATCGATGATTTTACGTGCAAGGCCACCATGTCAAGAGAAACTAGAGAGACATATCGGGGCTCAGCTGGATCAAGCTGCTTTGGAAGATCTTCTGACACCCAATATTGGGTACTCCATGGAAACCCTTTATGACATTGACTGCATTCAGCGGATTCTCGATCACTTTATTCGAGTAGATAATGAGTCGCTCAACTCTAGTTCGAGTTATGTCATTGATGAGGGGCAGCTTATGGGAGGTTCCCATCCATTGACCTCAATGACACTGGTAGCTACCCTGGTGGATGGATATCTGGCTGAAGTGGCACCTGATGTTAACCTGAAGTTGCCGAAGTTTCAGTCACTTGCAGCTGTCATTCCGGACTATGCCAGACCGTCAAATGATGGAATTTACCGTGCAGTTGACATATATCTTAAGGTATATTCTTCCCGGTTTGCCCGATTCGATCATTCGTTTGGTATCACCAGATTTGCAAACTCACACTTGAATCCAAGTGACATAAAATGCGATTCCATGAAAGAATCATCTGCGTAGTAATCTTTGTATTGCCATTCCACTTCATTATCGTCAGAGTTTTCCAACTTTTCATTCAGGCACATCCATGGCTGATAGATTCCGAGAGGGAACAAATGCGGTCTCATGAACTGCCAGAAGCTCTCACTAGAAGCTAGCACTCATGCAACCCAGAACGAGAGGCTACCACTTCGATTCATTGTCCAGGTCATATTCTTCGAACAACTTAGGCTTCGGACATCAATTACTGGTTGCTTATTCGTCTCAGACAACCTTGAAAACTCACGAAATCCAACCGGAAACAATGCAGAATCGGCATCCATTGCGCATGTCGGAGCTGTTCGAGACCGTTCTGCGGAAGCTGATGACATAAAGGAGCGGATTTCGGAGCTTGAGAAAGGGTGCTTGAGCATGAAGGAAGAACTTGAAAAGCTGGTGAAAGCAAAGCGTGGTTGGAATATTTTCTTGAAAAATGTCGGCTTTCGGTCGAAGTCCAAGTCCATCGATCTGAAAACAGCAAAACATTCTTCTTCCGAAGAAACTGAAGCCCTGCGATTCCAAAACATCAGCTGCAAAAGTTTCATTTGCAAATGGAAGTGAAAACTTCAACAATGGTGAGTCTGATTACAAGTTCTTAAAGAAAACTAGCAATGACAAGTTTTTGTTGCTTTAAAGTTTTTAGACTGTATGTATATGATTAAAAGTTAATTAGTCTTTGAGTAATTTAACCTTTGATATATGTTGCTTGAACTCGATTTTCTTGAAGTACTCGTGTTTGATATTTTCATTAGTATAAAATCAAATGAAGAGTCGGAATATCATAGAGATCGAGCTCATGTGCTCGATATTAAATGAAGCAGCCAATCATATATTAGGTGAAGAGCTCACCCTATATCTTTATGTACACCACAACACAGATACAAAAGCTATGTTTACTCGAACTCGGGTGTAAACCATAAGTGTTGGATATTCGTCATTGTCATGGTCATCCAGATATACGTCTAACAAAAGTGTCGAATATGAGTGTCGGACATTTTCTTAAGGCGCAGGTACTCGGAGTAACATAGGTGTACTTTTTTTGCCTTTGAACCTATAATATTACCTTGGTTTTGGTTGTGATGACCATAGTGGTTGGAAAAGATTCTGTGTTGATGGACTATTCAATAACATTGCTTGAGATTGAGTTAGCATCTCAACCATTGATGGCGTTTGATAAGCCTGGACTAGGCTCGAACCATCAGTGGAGTCGCCTCTTGCAGTGGCTCTTTGCCACAAGTGCGAACTCAGCCCGGAAAGGATATATGCTCGCCCAGATACCTCGTATACATGCCTGCTCGCCATCCTCTCTTCCATTTCCTTGAGCTCCGCATCCAATGCGACACAAAGTCGGTCATGGGATTTGGCGGAAACAGTATCGGATGATACCCTTCTACAATTTTCAAGGATTGAAACAGCACCTATGAGATCTCCTTGCTCGGCTGCAGTTCTTGCCTCTGCTATTGCCTCTGCTGCTCGGAACCTATTTCGCTGCCTGTCTACTTCAATTGATATTTCTTCGTGTTCTGCTATTTCAGGTCTTTGAATCCAAATAATATCGCTCTCTGAAGTCGTCATTCCTTTTGTCAAGAGATCCCTGTAAACACATTTCACCTTTAGCAATGATGTTTCACATGCAGCGGACTCGGCTGGTACTTTAACTGATACCAAGAAATCCCTCTCTTCGTCAGCATAGAGATCCCCGACATCGATATATCCGGTTTTCCCATCAGCTGACAGATTGCTTGGATAACTTCCGGCTTTAAGCGAGCCAAGGCAGAGACTCGGATTCATGCACTCCACACACACTTGCAGTTCTTGAACCACAACGCTTAAAAGACCGCCGATGCATTGTGCAAATGCATCCTGGATCATAATTTCGGTTTCGATAAAGGAAAACGTCCCTCCAGATATATCTGAAATCGAATGCATCAATGAAGCATCATGATCTGCACCAAAACCAAAAGCATGGACTGGAATATGAAATCCCGTGTTGTCACCACTGTGCATAGACGGGGGCACAAGCAACTCATAGTTCTGTTGAGACTTGTTCATGCCCGTGCCATAGACGGTATAAGTATCCTGCCCATCGGACAAAAGTATAATGCTAGTGACCGGATTCTTTTCGGTTCGATCTTCCATTACCTTTTCACCCTTTCGTAGACCTTCGGCTATGTTGGTACCACCATGAGCAACCAAAGAATTAACAGCTTGAAGTGCCTGCTGCCGCCCTAAATCGGACATTCGACGAAGGGGAAAGAGACGACGTGCAGTTGAAGAGAATGCAATGACCGAAAGTCTATCATTGGAGCCAAGGTTTTGTATCACAAATCCCATTGCTCGTTTTAGTAAAGCAAGTTTGGTGCCAGACATGCTAGCGCTAATATCAAGTACCGTGACTAGATCAACCGGAGCACGATGATTTCGAGATTGCAGCAAGCTAGCATAATGTATGCTCGGACTAGGATTTCGAGTTGCAATCGCTGCAGCAGCCTTAAGGTGAACCAGAACGGTGAAATCATCGTAAGTACGAGACCTTGGTGTGGTTGAGACCTCTGGATATGTTTCGATCTTCATTGTTGTAACAGATGTGTCATCTGTGTAATTCTTACTTTCAGCAATCACATGTAGGTGGTCCAAGGATTCATCGTCATTGAAAACACCTGGCTCTGCACATCGAAAGACCGGTACAGCATGCTGCCGGTTTTCATCCCAATGAGTTGTAGGCAACCGGTCGACTACATCCATCAAAGCATCATGTCCTGACCAACCAACAGTATCCATTGATGCCCTGCTAGGGAGAGGATCTAAACCGGGGCTCCAAATCGGGATTTCTTTCCATTTCAATCGACAAACCGGATAGATTCGATCGCCGTACTTCACATTCGAAGCAATGCAATGGAAGTGGAAAGAATGTGAGCATTCTGCAATGAATATAGCATGGCCACCTCCTTGCTCCATCTTCATCAAACATATTGAACATGTTTGCTGAAACAAATATAGTACTTAGAGAACTAAATCAAACATAGCTGACATGGCATTCATAAAAGGATAAATAACGTTTTTAGTCCTCCATATTTACAATTTTTTTTATCAGTTTAACCTCTAATCTTTAAAAATACAGAAAAGAATTCCATTTTATCAAACAAACACAAGTCCTATTAACTAAAACCTTTCTATCCTTCCAACCCATGCTAAAATATATTCTCAGGAAACAAACAGAAAGTACATAAAACTTAATACCCCAAAAGTTCATCTCCTGCAATCAAACAAGCACATACAGAAAAAAAGAATGCAAAAACACAATCAAAACACATACAGAAACCACAGAACCAAACCTTAGGTGATGATTTGCTTTTACTTTTAGACAACCTTAAACCATGAGAGGAAGAAACCATGTTTTCCCAGTTTGAAGGAGGTAACAAAGCAGCATCAGATAATCTTTCACCATCATCATCATCATCTAAAGTTCTAGGTAAATAAGCACAAAGGTTCAAGCCTAAAGCCAACTTTGCTTTTCTCCATTTACCGCCCATTTTTCCACAAAAGACAAAAACCCAAAGTTTAATAATGGATCCTCAAGCTTATTCTAATGTAAAAGTTCCTATCTTCCACAGAGCATGGAGAAAAGAAAGAAAGAAAAGAAGATGGGGTGTTTGATAAAAGTTGGAAAGGAACCATGTAAAAAGAGAAGAGAGAGATGGTTTAATGGAGGTTTTCGCTATTGTTTTAAACTTTATATATATATATGTATATCTCTGTGTGTGTGTGTGAAATCAGAAGAAAAGATCAAAAGAAGATTGGTAAAAGCTGTAGTTTATTTTTCCTGTAGGATAGTGTCAAAAGGACTAAGTCAGAGTGAGAAGGAATGGATTGTTTTTAACGAGAGGAAGATTACTAGTCTTTTTTTGTTGGGTGGCCGCCATTGATGGGAGAGTTTTTGAGTTATGGAATTTATTGGAGATTTTGGAGAACCGTTTGACCTTTGTTTTTGTTGTCGGATCTTGTAAAAAGGGAGAAGACCAGTTAGATAAAAGCACGTTTTGGTTGGAAATGGTTAAATCTTGGTTGTGGTCCTTTTACTTTGTTTGAAATTGAAATTTAATCTCTATATATTAATTTGATAGCATTCAATGTTATACATTAAAATAGACAACTAAATTATTATGTGTCACTATTTTATTAATCAATCAAAAAAAAATTTCTTTAATTCGCTAATAGACTCAAATATGAGACCTATTGTAAACAGGTTCAGTGCTTAATCATTATATTAAGAAGATGTTAAAATTAATTATATTTATTTTATCATTTATGTTATAATTGATCTATTTTTGTAATATTTTATAAAAATATATTGCAATTTATATTTTTATAAAGTAGATATAACTAATCTATTTTATAAAATATTATTATATATATATATATATATATATATATAATTCATATTATAATTAATATATTATAATTATATATTATGTTTTTTCATTAATCTTTTATTTTGTAATAGAAATTATAAATAATTTTATAAAACTAAAATGTTTTAATTGATGTTTTAGATATATTTTTATAATATTTTATAATTATATTATTATTTATTTATTTTTATAAAATAATTGTAATTAATTTTAACTACCATTTAACCCCCCTCTCTCTATATATATATTTGTTTAATGATTAAACATTGAACCTCTTGTTGGGGTTCAAACTTTGATAAAATTAATTATTTTTTTACTAATGTCTTACTATAAACATTAATTTAATAATTTAATAATTAACGTAATAGACCAATAATTTTTTGCCCTTGATTAATCCAGATCGACCTAAGTCACATATCTAGCTGTTGTGGGTGAATCTTTCAATGAGAATTTTCTTCATACACAAGGACTAACTCAATATCTGCTTAAGCGATATCAAGTTGTTTACCACTTAAACCAACCCCAAAACACCAACAATTATTTTGTTAATACGATTAATCGTTGGTTAATTAGTTATTTCTATTTAAAAATGAATTGTTTTAATTAAAATCAAAACATCGAAAGATTAAAATACTTCTTTAAAATGTTAAGTTCCAAATTATCGTTTAGTCAACGGTCAAAGATTATTTTTGGGTTATGCCTTCTATAATATAAATGATGAATATTCTAAAATCTTAAATACGAGTAATACATATAAATTATAAATAAATAATTTTAATAAGTTAGTTAGACTTGATTTACATAACAATCACGTGCTTTAATAAATTTTAAATATTTTAGAAATATTTACGTGCAAGTTTCCTTGTAGATTCTTAAGACTTGTCTATATCAATATTCTTCATATCTCTGTAACTACTATATAAGTCTTCATTATATATATATATATATCATGATTAATGTTAAATGCAAAAATATTTTTGAGATAAATATACGTATATCAATATGAATATGAAGTTTGGGGAAAAGCATATGTCTCATAAATTTGGACCGTTAAATTAATTAAGACTGGAATTTATAGTGGGAAGTTTAACAGGAAAATTCTGTGTTGGAAGTATCTTCCCTTCATTTAGAATAATTGGAGTTAGTTGAGAATGTATACTTATCGTGAAACTATATTTATATTTAGGGTAAATTACATTTCTCATCTCTCGATTTTACCGGTATTCTTGTTTGGTCATTCAAATTTTTTAAAAAAAATTATTTGATAGTTGATCTTTTGAATTGTTCATCTTTTAATCACACAATTGTTAGATAAAAAATAGCATGGTGATGCGGATGATCAAGACACTAACAAAGTCAATTCATCGTTACTTACCCTCTATCAGTTTGGATTTTCTCAAATTCTTTTTAAGACTATCGAAACTCAACCCAAACTCAAGAAAAAACGATTTGATCTAAAATATTCACCGTTCATTCAACGTGAAATCAAGATATATAACTCATCTCATTTTTCTCCACCTCTCTACTGTTGGGGTGTAGAAGAAGATGCTTCAGTATCATAAAATCAAAGGAAACAAATATAGGTTTCATGACAATCTTAGAATTTTTTCATAAAAATTGAACATAGTTTTTTTTGTCTTTAGTAATTTTAAAAAATAGATATTGTGACATAACATCATTAATTATTTAATTGTGGAGTAACTAAAATAGAATATATTCTAAAGTTGAGTGATCGGAATAAAAATTCTAACAAAGTTGAATGATAAAAATATAGTTTACTCATATATTCAAATTTGTTCACATATTGGATTTGAGATGGGTTCTATTTATATATACAAATTGATTTGGAGGACTCCAATCACTAATAAATTAATCTGAATTTGAACAATTTTTTTTTTACAATCTAGGATGATTATAAGATACAATATCTATTAAGAATATTTCTTAGTTATTGACAACGCATATATACACTTCAACGATTATTCAAACCCAAAATTTATCAAAAAAATAATATTTTATTTTACCACCAAAATTATTCAATAAATTCAAAATTTAAACGAACACTTGAATAAATAAAGACGATATTTAGATAAAGAAATGTAAGAATGATTGTAGGGTTATTGAGTGGAGTTTCCCCTATTCCCACTAACTTTTTATACCCTTCAAAAGACAGCCTTTTTAAAAGGAATACGAATCCCAATCTTTTTTAGATTAGCAAAAAGTTATACTTTCTCAATTAACAACGTTAGATTCTTTAATTAATATCATGTATTAAAATTTTAATATTCTGAATGAAAAAAAATCAGATAAAAAGGATCACTTTCGTGATAATCTTTTTTTATTAATTTATCTAAATTAATCGACTAATAAATTAAATACCAATAATTTGTATAATCATATTAAGTTCGAATAATAAAAAAGATAAAATCTTAGAAATGAGTAGAAATCCATTAACAGAAAAAGCATCACTTGATAAAAGGACCTTTGTGGAAGGGAATAAGATTCCATTCCCATCTACCATTATCTAGGACAAGTCAACTAGAAAAGCTTGAAACCTCCTTTTTTACCTATGAACAAGGTTAAATTACGATTTTGGTCCTTTTAATATGTTAAAATTTGAAATTTAGATACTATATTAATTTAATAAAATTTGGTCATTCTATTTTTAATAGTGTCTTTAGTAATCATGAGAAGGGGAATTGAAATTCATTTGAATTGATTATCTATTTTTATCATTATCAGATCAAATTATAATTCTGACCACTATTATACATGAATATTTTCGTGAATTTTCTTAGAAACGCAACTTTCAACGTAAGAAAATCCTTTATGAGCATGAGTTGAAAATGGTGATTATAAGATTCAGAAAAACCTGCTTTATAGGTTAACCAAAATAGTTAACGATGATAATTATTTGAATTTATTAAAGACATTGTAAAAATTAAAATTAAAGTATAAGCATTAAATCCTAAACTTAAACAAGTCAAATGACCAAAACCATAATTTGGCCTACTAATAATAAAATTATCATAATCAATACGTATGATTTTGAATTATTATTTCATATAAATGGTTAATTCTGCCGTACAACCCTACTAATTTTTAAGACTTAAATACGGTGAAAATAGATGTAATAAAAAATCATAACATTTTAAGTTAGACACAATCAAGATTGGTTCTGACTATTTTTTGACCTGGGATGAAATTATAAAATTAGGCAAGTAACTCAAAAAAAAATTAAAATATGCAATATAAAATTTTAATTATAATTTTTTGGGAAGTGAAACTATTTATTAACATTAATATAAAAACTCAATTATTACAATTGACACCTTACTAAATTTATTGGTCCCATTACAATTTTTTTAAAAATATTATTTATTTTACAATTTTTTTAAAATTTCTTATCAAAATAAAAAAAATATATTATACTAACAATATTTTTTAATTTGTGGGCTCTGGACATGTACCATTTTTCTTTGACCCATGGCCAACCTTAGATACAACTTAAAATATGACATTCTTCATAACATTTTTGATAATATTTTTTATTGGCAATAAGAATGTTATATTTTTTATAACATTTTAGGTTATAACTGAAAATATTATAAAACAACCGAAAATATTATAAAAAAATATCATATTTTAATCAAACTAAAATATTAAATTTTTTTGGTCGATTTTTATCGTGCCAATTTCTACTGGTTTTTAGGCTTAAATTAGGATATTTTTTAAACTTTCCCATACGATGTGGACAGAAAAAAAATCACAAACACCTTTAAAATGATGAAAAACGTTTATTTATTTGTTGTTTTTTAAAATAAATATGTTATAAGAACGATTATCATTATCTAAAAAAAATACTTATAAAATTGTTTTTTCCATCCACAATATATCAAGGTCCAAATGATTTTTTTTTTGAGAGAGATCAATACATACATACATACATATATATATATATCAAAATGTTTATCAAAATGGTGATTTTGTCTCATATTTTAACGTTTGGAGTATTTTGATCATAATTTTTTATTTTAGAGTAAAAAGACTTCTAAAATTTGACATAATAATTGTTTTGTCTCTTATTCTTTTTTTTGGGCATTTTAACTCTTAATGTTTCATTTTAGGTTAAAAAATTCATATTTTGGAGTGTTAATCGTGCGTTAACTAATGGTTTTCATCTATATAGGTAGCTTTTTGTACCAAAGTGAAACGTTGGGGCTGCTAAAAAATAATAATAGTTGAAATGACCATTTTGATAAACATTTGGGACTATTTTTAGTATCATGCCTTAAATTTAATGGTTAATATTAGTCAAAGAGATAAATTAATAAAATTTAAGGAAAAAAGTTTAAGGACTTGATTAATTTTTTTAAAAATGTAGGGTTTAATTATAAAATAGAAGTAATCAATTTGATGAACTCAATCAAATATTCACCTTTAATAATATGAATAAAAACATGTTTAAACATATAACATCATTTAAATAGTAAAAATAATATAAAACAAAAATATTTAATAAATATATAACAAATGGACTAATATAAAAAAAA